GCGCATGAGTGGCGAAACAAAAGCATGACGACGACATGGACGGGAGGGACAGGCCCGTCACGTCAGAGACAAATCAATCCAATACCCGGACGCCAATATACCAACTCCGGTCAATACCCGTGGTTTGGCGCCAGTGGGATGGGCTATATCAAACAGCAAACAAGCTCAATTGACAGCCCGATCCTACAGACATCACCAAGTGTGTTTAGCTAATCCATGAGGGGAGTTACATCTCTCCCTCAAATGGACACCAATGCATTCTAACAATGGGATGGCGGAAATAAAGTCAATGTATGTCTACGAGCCCCATTCCTAAGTAAGACCGCCAACTAAGAATTTCCAAGTCAATCCAATTGACATGAAAACCACCAGCTATATGTAATCGGTACGAATTATTGAACACTTAACTTCTACAACACTTCTACGACACTTCTACAGCACTTCTACAATCACCTTTCTCCCCTTCTCACCTGATAATTTCCGGTTTGACGATAATGACTACATTGACAGTAGTCTCCACCTTTCCCAGCGCGTTCTCCGCCATACAGCGGTACTCTCCGCCCATATCTCTCCTGGCCGGGTCAAAGTTGAGCGTGCCATCCTTGGGATCCACGCTCAGACCGTCAACATTATCGGCTCGGCGTTCTCAGGGTTAACCCAGGTGAGGGTAGGCAGGGGTTTGCCGGCTGTTCGGCAGGGGATGCTGCCCTGTTCTTCTCTGTGACCTCAAATGTAGCGCCCTCGGCCGGCTCCAGAATCTGGGGTAGAGAGTGTACCTGGAGGGGGAGAGGGGGGTCAGAGGGGGGACAGAGGGAAGATGACCGAAAACATAGGGCACATCGATCATGAATGTCATGTTAATCGAGACATCAAGTAACATTGAAAGGGAGACAGTTATGCGACATTTGTGATCAGTGCACAAAATATAAATCAGGTCGAAAACTTGGAACTGACGATAAGTATAGCCTCGTTACAGAAAAAAAGAAGTTAACCCGGCAGGCGGTGGGCCCTACCAGCCACCTTCCGCGCGGTGGGGGTGGGGGTGGGGGGGGGACATTTTTTTTGCCCCCCCCCCGTATCTCCGAAACTACTGGACGGATCCGGAAAATTCAAACGGCGTTCGATAGCCCTGTCAAATTTGTCGAGGGAAACCAAATTTCATTGACCTCGGGGTCACCGATGACGTCACAGGTCAGGTCAAAGATAAAATGTTTCACCGTTCACGGGGCTTCTATGGAAAGCGCTATAACACCGAGTAAAACGCATTTTGTCGAAAATCAGCGATAAGGCGTCAGTTGTCTAGTACATATGTTGCTATTAGAGGTCACTGGTCATACAAGGTCAGGTCAGAGGTCAGGTCACCAAAGGTCACCACATGAGCCCAACTTTACTAAGGTTATGCGATGCATGTTTTATGGCCAGTTTTTCATTTCCAACTCAATGGTGTTGGTTATAAGACAATCAGGTACGGTTCAGGTCACTTTCTGGTGGAGGTCAGGTCCAGGTCAGGTCAAAAAGGTCAAATTTCAAAGTTGATATTTTTGCATAAAATGGGTATCGATTCGATGCAGCTCGTCACGGGGAGTCTAATGGTGGTCTTTGTTTTGCGCTACAAGGTATAGAATTGCTAAAAATTGAGTTTGAAAATTTGAAGTCATCAATTTTGAAGTTTTTTCGCTATAACTTGGCCAAAAAACGAGATATCGATCTGAAATTTGGTATGTATATAGAAGAGCGCAGGGACTATCACATATATTCCGGTTTTTCCGAAATTCAAAAAACTTTTTGGATTTTTTGCTATTATATTCAAAAAATCTATATTTTGATTTTTGGGGGTCAAAATAAAAAAAATCGAAAAACCGAAATAGCAGTTTTGTAGCCCTTTTGATTCCACACCTTTTATGTCTGAAACATTTTTCTGTATCTCTAAAGCTGTAGGCCTGACAGCTCTTCCCGCGAAACCTTTTTTTGGGGTCGAAAATGGCAAAAATGACGTCACTCTGACGTCATTAGCGGCCAACCTATCATAGCCTTTGAAAAAATTTTGGTCACCATGTGCGCTAGCTGCTCCCGGGAGGGTACTGAAAGTTTGGTGACGATCGGCGCAGCGGTTCTCGAGATATATTGAAAAAACTAAAGGGGGGGGGGGCAAAAAAAATAATGCCCCCCCCCCCACCGCCTGGAAGGTTAAAGGCTCTATGTACAGTAGGTCTATTAAAAAAGTCCCCAGCACCAGTGGGCGCTGCCTCCGCTGAGCCGAACCCCCGTCTGCCTGTCCCATATCGCGCCGGGCTCAGGTCAGATAGGGTCAGCGGGACCGCTCGGTCCGGCCCGCGGGCGGTGGACGGGCGGCCGGTAACGCTTTCCGCCAGCCAGCTGTAGAATCCAGCACACGGGACGGCCGCCGCTCAGCGCAGCGAAACCGGTGTTGAAGAATGGCAGTAGATGTTCATGGCCACAATGATTATGAGAAAGTCATTGTTAGCCCGTGCCCCACAGGAATGCCTATGCACGCCCTGTTGGAGGGAAAATGGGGATTGAGCATCATTCTTATAACTCAGCTTTGGGCATTTAAGTGGCATTCGAAGTAGCGTCAAAAGTAGCAAAAAGAAGGAGAAATATACTTCAGCCAACTTTAGATCGGGTCAGAGCCAGAGGTCATGTCACCAGAGGTCACCGGTGGTAAAATTTTGCTTGGACAGGGTGCGTTGCGCGCACCGGTGCATTGGGTTTCCAGTTTCCATGGAAACATCAACAGACTCGGGAGCTCGCAACGCTAGCGTGGAGCCGAATTCATATCAACCGCCGCAACAATGCAGCAGCGCAGCGCAGCGTGCTGCAACGCGGGGCCGTGAAACACCGCCCAGGGCTATCCATGTGTCAGGGCAATCCAACCCACGTGATGGGCTCGGCCCCAGCGGAGCATGAGGTCCAGGACTCCCGCCCAGGCCCCCTGTCTCCCCCTAATTCCTGTCATCCTTCCCACTCTGAAATCGACCGAGCCTAACCTAACACAGCAATAAGCTCGTTTACCGCAATGTCTGAATAATATTGTCAGATTTAATAAAGGCGCATGGCTTAGCACGTAAATAACAGCAACTACCACCATCGGTATTATGAGAAAACCAATTGCTTTTCCACAAACACTTAAAAGTTTTTAGCTTAAAACTTGCTTGAAATTAATTTTACCAGCCTCGTGTTCCTCTTATTAAAAAACGCTTCGAATGAATCAAAAGTTGATCTTTAAAGGTCATTTGAAAAATTTGGCCTATGTTCAAAGACATGACCTGACCAGAAATGGTCATGATGCATAGCAGGATATTAGATTCGTATCGTGGAACTTTACGAACACTTTAGATGATTTCATAACTTAAGCATGTCTATCAAAAATAATTATGACATGGCTCATATATAAGCTGGGTGTGTGATCATGCTTACTAGTATGTTTAACGCAACTGATAATGTTCTGTTGGCCACAATTTCTATATTTAATTTATTCTCCCGGATTTCATATTTTTATAAATGACACCTTGACGATGTCGAGAAAAAAAAAACACTTAGGAGATTTAACAGCCTGAGATACATTCAGTATAAGGAAGGGTCAAGGGTGCTAGATCCCTTCCGTCCTCGCTATCCTCAGGAAAAAACAATCCGCATCGCCCCTAGTCTTCATGCTTCCCTCTCTGGACTGGAGGTCACCCCACCAGCCAACCTGTAGTTGATGTCGGATCCATTCCAGGACACATAGGTACTCCTCTTCGGGTGACCGTTTGGGAGACGGCTGGACCGTCCCGACACTCGACAGGGCAATCGTCCCACGGGAACAGTCTCGCTTCCGCAGATCACTGTCGCTGGCTCGCACAACCCAATTACTACACCAGAGCATAGTTATGTCATAGCTCTGCAAGGGCCTTTTCAGACTGAAAAAGATGGCTCTCAACAAAACAAACAATTTTCTCATTCAGTATTGTATCTCATCAAGCACCACATGTTTTCAGAGTGTTTATTATGCGTTCCGTCCAAAAAAGCGCAGTTTAATTTTCTCCCATTGACTTGAGCGATCTCAAAATTGACCCAGCCTTTCTGTCAACAATGTCAAACTTGCAAAGTAAACGTTTCAAATACATATACCTAGTGTTGCCCATTGAAATCGCTGAAAGTTGTAAAGCGATCGGTTAGTCGGTGTATTTAGATATGATGAGCACAGGAACTTTTCTTGAGGTAAGGTCACTTGACGTGACCTGGTGTTATGACCTTGAATTGAAAGACTTGGGCGAGAAAAATGGGTTATTTGAAATCTGAAAATGCTAGATTTTAACAATAATTGCAAACACTATCCCGGCCAAATAGTGAGTGAGAAGGGAGCGATCCCCAAACCCCATGTTTAGCTCATGGACTATAATTGAGCTAGCTGCTTGAGCCTCGCGGAAAAAAACGAGCGCTTGCTTCGTTACGTGACGCAGCGACTGGTACCCCATTTTAAAATATCATTGACCTCTTAGGGCAGGTCAAGGGCCCCAAAGCATTCAATCGGTTTTTGGTAAATAGCTTCGCAAAAATGGTCGCATTATCGTCATTTCGATACAATCGTGTTTTCTGTTCTCAGACGCGTCGATTTATATGCTTTTTTGTTCAGGTGAAGCAATTTAGAATGTTTACCTGAGGTCAATGTCATTTTAGGGCAACACAGGTCACGAAGCTGTTGAAAGGAGGACATGTTGCATAACATTTGATTCGGCAAGCTTGCAAAGTCCAAAGATGGCTGTCCCGACTGGCTAGCTCATTTTGATCGGGAGTTATTGACGAAGCACTCCTATCACCCTAGTGACGTCATAACTGACGTCACGCAAGGTGAACAATGCAAAAGTGAAGCATTAGACCTTGCCAAGAATGTATGAAGTCACGATTTGAAGTGCTTGAGGTGTAATTTTAGATCATTTCCGACGCCAAATTAACAGTTTCCATATTTCTCCATTATGCTTGACACTAAGTGCATTGCGGATTTGCATCATTTTATAACCGACAACCGTGCAGAGGTTTACTTAACCCTCGCCGGACCTATTGGTTTTCTACATACGCGCCGGCCGAGGGGGGGGGGGCGGGTACGACCCCCCCTCGCCGTTTCGCCCCAGGTGGAGCTAGCGCGTCGCGGAAAAAAACGAGCGTGTGCGCCGTTACGAGACGCAGAGATTGGTACCCGATTTTAAGGTCCTAGGTCAACCGGTGACCTCTGAGGTCAGGTCAAGTGCCCCAAGGTACGGTTCATTTTTGGTGAATAACTTCGCAAAAAACGGCCGCAGAGCCGCGATTTTGGCAGCATCGTTTTCGCCTTGCTCAGGCGCGTCGAATGATATACTTTTTGTCCGGGTCAGGTCAACTTGGGGTGTTGACCTCAGGTCAAGGTCAGGTCAGCACCCCCAGGTCACGAAGTTGGTCTTAAGAGGTCATGTTGCATATCATTCGATTCGGCAGGTTTTCCTGAGTCCATTGGTGGCTTTCCCGACTCGCTAGCTCAATTTGATCGGGAGTTATTGACGAAAAACTAATATGAACTTGATGACGTCATAAATGACGTCACGCAAGGTCAACATTGCGAAAGTGACGCATCTAACCTTGCAAGGAGTGCATCAAATCACGATTATGTGTGCTTGAGGTAGTTGGAGATCGTTTCCGGCGCCAGAACAGCAGTTTTCATTTTTCCCCATTGACTTATACCTAATGGTGAGGTCACGAAAATGACCTGACCTCATATGACCTGTAGGAAAAATCCGAGATATACAAGTTGTGAGACTCATAATGGATACTAGATCCTGCAAGTTTCATTTCCCTGTGACATCTCCTCTGGCAGTGAGGGCGTTGCGAAGTTGCGACATCTGAAGATCGTGCAGAGGTTCACTTATGACGCCATAGGTCAGTGACCTGACCTGACCCAAAATGCGGTTGGTGTCAAAAGATCTGGCTTGAATCAAAGGTTAGGTATGCCAAGTTTCAGCTTTCTATCGCCAGCGTGTTCGGAGCTATCGCGAAAAAAAAACATTGGGGGCGGCACCCGCCCCCCCCCCCTCGGCCGGCGAGGGTTAAGACGCCATGGTTAAAGGGACCCTCCCACCTTCAAAAAAGTTAATGAATTGGCATGAAAGTGATGTCGCTCGGTTCAAAAAGAGCAAAAATGAATATCTACCAAATTTCATCGAAAAATATTCACCGGTTTTCAAGATATTTGACTTTTACTTTTGTTTACTTTTTGGGATCTCCGCTGTTCCTAGCGACTTTATTTGAAAGTGCGGCATTTGTTGCGCGCAAAGCAGCATATACCACCGCGTGCTGCCAAACGTTTTAGTAAAAGATTTAAAAATCGTTAGATCTCCGCTGACGTCACAAATTCTAAGGGGGCATACCAATGCATTAGCCCCTTAGAATCCGAAAACTGCAAGTTTGAAATTTCATATCTCCGAATTAAAGCATTTTTCGATGTTGTGAATGCCCAAACCGGTATTTTCAGGCCATGGCCACCAATTTGGCTATCTCAATTCAAAACTAATGTTAAGGTGGGAGGGTCCCTTTAAAGGGACTATCCCACCTTTAACATGGGGTTTGAGTTGAGATAGCCAAGTTTACGGCGAGGTTCAGAAACCACTATCTATCTAGGTTGCAACCCCCGCGGCCTCTTGGTGTTGAAGAAATTCGTTCCCTTCATTTGAAAATGGACCTTGCGCAAGGCCCTATCTTCAACATGGAGCGACCGTTAGTGTGACGTCACCTCGTTTAGTCATTCTGATTTAAATGGATTTGTTCGTTGAAAAATCGCTTAAAACTTGGTCTGAACTTTGTTGTGGTGCCTACAGAGTAAAAAGAATCAGCTTTATGACAGTAATGTGGCCTGGGGAAGGAGGTAATTTTGGGCTGTGACGTCACATATTTGAAAGTTTGTGTTTGGGATATGGGAAGCCTAAGATGTTTAATGAAAAATAAATGCCAGAACCGTGTTCCTGGTCATCCAATCTATAAAGTCGGGCACAATTTAACTGGTTTTAACAACATTTTAGAAGGTGGGATAGTTCCTTTAAGTGACCTGACCTGAAAACGTGGTTAATGTCAAATGATCCGGCGTGAATCAAATGCAAGGCATAAGAAATGTCAGCCTTCTATCATCAGTGTGCTTTGAGCTACCGCAAGAAATACATGGTGGCGGCATTCACCCCTTCTTCTCGGCCGGCGAGGGTTAAACCTCGCTTCGAATTATTGCAGATAATGATGCAACCGAAAACAAAGCATTTATCTGTGTCTAGAACGGCCGCTGACTTGTTGGACAAGATCCCCAATCTTGATTTGCTAGATGGGAATAAAATGCTGGGTATGTGATACATATATACCCCTCGATTTGCTCTCGCGCTATGTCTATTTTAATCATTACTGTCGCTTTTTATCTGAGATGATGTCGCCGCTAAACGGGTTGTTTTGTTTGCTTGCTTGCGTTGCATGGTCATTACGGCTTATTGAAGGGTTATGATAAAATAGGAATGGGGCGAGGGAGGATATGCACTGCGTCTGCAGGTGTTTAATTTAGATCACAAAGGCATCATTTCCGGCATAGTGCAGAGTCATTATCTTCCCCCTCCTCTGCACTGCGGCATCTCTGCGCCCCTCACACGGCGTCCTCACTCCACGGCCGGCCGCCGCCAACTGACCCACTCGCCGGGCGCCGCGACCTGACCCGTGTCGCTGCCGCGGCCTGCGCAATAGAGTCGGGGCTGGAATCCGGGGGTTCGGCCGGCCGGCCGCCTCTGGAGCGGGGGACTTTTTTTGTAGACCTACTGTACGGAATGGTGCAAGATCATTGTAAAAGACTCAGGTGGAAGAAATACAGGCCCAAAGGTAGGCTTATAAGGGGGAGGGGAGGGGGCAGCGTTGAGTTTCAAATACTATCTAATTACGTTCTTCACATCCGGATATCATATTCATTTGATGACGCACAATCTGTGACCGTAAGTTAACGCCATCAAAGTACAAATTAAAGCATTTACTATCAACATCAGGTGTGCCAAAAGTCACATAAATTAGCACCATCTGTCATACTATCTGCGTCTCACTTGTCGCTCGTGAACCAATTAAATGTTATCCAGCCGCAGATGTAAAAGGTGGTCAGACGATCCCACCCACGCACCAATCCATAATATCGTGTCGGTATGACGGATCAAAGCACAAATTGGAAGATCAAATGCGGCGACAAGCCTTCGTGGGCGTCTGCCACTAGTTCGAAGTACGGGTGCCTCTGAAGTCTGACGGCCCCCTGGCTGCTCCTGTCGTCAATGTTACGCCCGCTGCCGAACTGACGTGTCCATGAGATGGAGGCACGATCAAAGACTGATACTGATGTGGAAGGTTTCAGAAGTGTAGGTAATCGATTGAGTGTTCAAAGATTGTGCAGGATTATGCATTTGATTCAAAAGGTATGATAAGAGTAACCAAAATGGCACGCAGGCTCCTGAGCTTTCACAACTGCTTAAAAACTTCACACCTAACAAATATGACGACATAAAATAAAAGTTTAAGTCAAAAGCCTACCCACTTTTCATAATCCTTTCAACATGGGTACAGAAAACGGCCCATAAAACAATATTGCCTTCCAGTGTTCTGCATTACGCACGCCTTTCATCTCTGAACCAAACCCACGCAGCTCCATCACTGCCAGGCGTCACATGTTCCAACCATCCCGATGTCACCTACACGGCTTAGCGACCAGTCTCCTGTAACCGACTTCTGCTGTCTGTTTTCCGCAGCTGTCGGACGCGACTCCGAGTGGTCATTTGTCACAGAAACAGACCCAGTAAGTGGTCGGACGGCTGTCGCCCAAACGCGTGTTTAAAGTTGTCGCCACAACACTCTCTGCGGAGCGGGACATTTGGCAGCCGCGACAGATGGTCGCGGGGTGGCAATGACGCCATTTGGAGCATCACTTGGGACTTGGGTTAACAGTAGGTACCGGACAGCATGGAGTAACGTTGCAAATCCCGGTAGGTAGGTAGGTAGATAGGTAAGTAGGTAGGTAACATCTAGCCAAGGTTTAGATGCTGCCATAGCCAGCCATGGTTTAGGAATCTATAAAGGGCAATGGACTGACAAGAGGATGAAGTACGCACCTCGACCTGAATGCGCCGTTCAGCCAGTTCGCCCTCGTCAGGCACCTTGGCACGACAAATGTAGGTGCCGTCGTCCTCAGAAGAGATGTCCTGGATCACAAGGCCGTCCTGCTCAACCACGAACCTGTGTGAAGGACAGGTCCGGTTAGAGGTTAGCTCAGGGTAGGGGGGTAAGGTCAGGTCAGAGGTCGGGTCGAGACAGATATGAAATAACTAGCGGTCAGCAAATATGTCGGTTCATAGTCCAAAACATTTGAGCTAAAAGAACTAAGGTCAGAGCAATAGCCAACGCACTTTCAATCAGAAATCAATCCATGAACCGGTGTCTGGAGCCCAGCTTCGACCACATCTGCCGATTACACCTCCCACGGCGACCCCAGTTTGGGCTCGTCCACCGCGTCCACCCACCGTCCACCCGACGAGATGGTCTTGTCGTCTTTGATCCACTCCACAACGGCCACCGGGTTGGCACGCACCACGCACTTGATCTTGGCCGTGGTGCCCTGCTGCGGGTTCTGCTGCTCGGGCGCGTCCTCAAATCGAATGCTCACTGTGGAGAGATGACAAGCAAGTTAGAATGACGGTCAGCTGAGCTGTGAAGTGGAGGAGACGGGTTCGATCCCCCTTCTCAGTTTATAAGAAAGACAGCTTATTGTGTGCAAAAAAAGAAATGGGAAAGGAAATGCTGAAACATTAGCGATGGATGAATGATGACATATGTACGCGGCCAAATGCATAATCCAGCGATGTTTTTTTTCTAAAATAGACAACATAAAACCTCTGCAGCCGAGACCACAGCAAGTGCGGGCGGGATCATCCGACCAAGATAAAGGTAAAAAGGCTGGATAAAGATATCCAGCTCGCAGTAACACCCGTCCGCTTCTCATGCGGCGCAGGGTCACGTACACCGCTCTAGATCCCGCTCGGGATCGCCCACTCAGCGCTATACGCAGCTGCTCGGTGCAACCGCTCTCTGATCTGGATGCCGTTCCAGGGAACCCGGCGCCATTGTGCTGCTCATTATCTGCAGGGCGTGCGGCGCCTGAGGGTCCGACGGACAATGCGCGCCCGTCCGGCAGACGCCACCCGGGCGCTCGTCGTTAGCGACGAGGCGCGCGTCGTTTGCGACGGGGTGGTGCCGACGGCGGCGACGAGCCGTGCCGCCTCACCCAGACAGACGGAGGATAAGGCACGGTCTGCCGCCGCCGCCGCTGATGATGAAGGTGACCTCTGGCGGGTCTCGGTAATTAGACTCAGTTTTAATATCGAGTAGAATTCCGGCTTAATTGTGATTGGAGGAAATTCGAAAATAGGAGCTACCTTTGAATGCTTCAGATCACACTTTTCTTTTCATAGTAAAATATTGTTATGAATAGCAGATCTCGCATGACCTGTCTATTCGTTACACCATTAGGTGCACATAAGTGCACTTGTGTTCAACCCATTTGCTATATAAATGGCATTTTGACGGCGATCGGCCCCATGACACTAATTGGTAGTGCCAACGCGTCACCCGTCAGTTACAGACCAACGCCTGACACAATCAGGACAGCATGAGCCACACGCCTAAATCAGAGGCCCGGCTGCTGCGCCGCCGGGGTGGGATGGACCCTATTCCTAATAACCTCCGTATTTCAAATAGTCGGCTAGCGTGACACAATCGGGCGTGCGTGCCACCCCCGATCGATTCAAATTAACTAGCCCATATTTCAAACATAGATCGCCCCAGATTTCCGAAAAGAGGCTAGGATACAGGACCAGAGGCATCTCGCATGGAAGCGCCAAACACTGGGGCATGTAAATTGTGTAAAAAGACCCGGAACTGACATATAATTGTCGGGTGCAGTTTCACCGTGTCAGACAGCACTTAGCCCGCGCCGTGCTGGTGGCCTGAACTTTCCGCCGAGTGCTGGGGGGGCGTTTTCACGCCCCCCCGTCTAACTCGGCTCCTGGGCCACGTAGCGACACGCGGTAAGCGGCAATCGAAAGAGCGTCAAAAATAAGGACGAAAACACTTCGGTCATTTTTTGGGTCAGGTCAAAGGTCAGGTCACCAGAGGTCACCAAAGGTAAAATGTTGACTATTTCAACATTTTGGAAACTGCCAACGGCTATCTCGGGAACCGATAGAGCTACAGCGCCGCGGAAAAGCGCATTCGATAGCCCTTTTACAGACCTTTCTGAGTAATGTTCTCAGATTTGACCTCAGGTCAACGGTTTAGCCTCCAGAGGGCAAAAACTCCAAAAATAACCGTTTTTACGAAAAACGTTTTTTCGTCAATAACTTTTGACTCATAAGCGCCATGACATTACTTTTGCCAGCATCGTGTTCCTCTCGTCGAGACGCGTCGAATGAATTATTTGTTGACCTTGAAAGGTCATTTTGAAAATTTGACCTCAGGTCAAGGTCATGACCTGACCGAAAAGGGTCATGTTGCATATCAGTCGATCCGTATCGTCGAGCTGAACACATCTGACGTGTTTTCACCGCTCTAGCACGTCTCTATCAAAAGTTATAGCCAAAAAACTGCTGGCGACCGTTCATGACCTGAGATGACCTCAGGGGCACACAGAGGGGTCACAGGTGCATTTTTCCTATTCAGTGTGTCATGTTTACCTATGAACCGATGTTTGAGAGCGTTTTGAACGATATTCGTCCAAAAGAGGCGCATTTCAATTTTCTCCCATTGACTTATAATGGAGAGGTAGCAAAATTGACCTGACCTTAGGTCACAGATATCAAAAATCCGAGATATACATTTTATACATACTGTTACTCATATCAATCGCTGAAAGTTTCAAAGTGATCGTTCAGTCGGTGTAGCTATAGCGAGCCTTTGAACTTTTTCTGAGGTAAGGTCACTTGACGTGACCTGGTGACCTGACCTTGAACGGCCTAGGTCTGAAATTTTCACAACATGTGCGGAAATGATGTAGGAACACGTGTACCAAAAACGGCGGCGCTGCGCGCCGCCGTTTTTGAGATATTCGCGAAAAACCTGAGGGGGGGCGTAAAAACGCCCCCCCCCCCAGCACGGCGCGGGTTAGTAAACAACTACCACTGCCTCTACAAAACGTGGACAAACAAACTCCACAAAACGTCTGTTTCATCCGTTACAAGACACACGCAAGCTTTTAGTCCCCACGCACGACACGCGTGAACAGGCTATGACTTTAAAGGAAGAACACGAGAGCAGTTTCGTGACGAAACTGCTCGCAGCATGCCACCCTTCGAGTCAGTCCAGCCACCGAATGCAGTGTCAGAGAAAATTGGTAGAGTGGGTCTTTTGCATTTACTGCGGCCATGCAAGATAACAATGAAGCAAAATCAGTATGTCTATTTTGCAGAAATACATATGTGGATTGTGGGTAGGTAGCTGTTTCAATTACCCTGGACGGATACTATATCCATCAGTCTGTCTTTACGACAAAATCTAAGGGCAAAGTTGGTCTCGAATCTCTCCACCAACCCACGCCATTGACCGTTGACACGAATGACGTCATCATTCCCTCTCGTCTCCTGCCGCTGACGTCACCGGCGTCAACTTCGGCACGTTTCAGCACGGGCAGCGAACACTCCTCTGTTGACGAGCCCCACCTACTCAACCCACGTCCGGCTGTCCTGCGGTCTCACCCACGCAGCCTGACTGGAAAACAGCCTGCCCTGCACTCACAGAAACCCTGACAAGAAAACTGCCTGCCCTGCACACACAGGATCTTTTCCCAATGAGGCGGTGACAGCCCGGCGTCGGGAGGGGGCGGCAGCGGGGGCGGGGGCGGGCTGCGCGTGCAGGAATCCACTCCCGTGTCTGACACGGCCAGACGGCGTCACCCGAGCAAGACGAACGGCTGACACCGGAGCTGGTGGGGGAGGTGGCCGTGCCGGGACGCCGGGCACACAGAGCGACAAGAAACTGCAGCACGGAGCTCCTCAGAGCTCGGAGCTCATACATCCCACCATGCACGGTAGGCAAGTTGAGTTTGTATCATGGAAGATCGCAGACAAAATGCAACAACAGAGAAAACAGAGCTGCTTCATCGACTGACAGTCGAAAAAACCCAAGCACAAAACTGACTATTCTTCTTCGTTCTAATTCTTTCGGATTGTGCGAGCAGGCAAATCGTACAATAAAATCAGCCAAGCTCCAACATTCCTGAAAATAAATGCAGACCAATATGCCAGATCAATCTCGTCACATGAGCCAGTGTCCTCTACCACCATTTCAACTCCGCCTGCCTCCCATTCTGTTGCTCGCAAACAAACGTCAAACAGGGTCACCGCTGCTCTTATGGATCGCTGACCTCCCGACGCCCTCTGCTGACCTCTGACCCCGCCCCGGGCGGTCTCGACGGCCACTGAGTCAACATGGGCTGGTCGTCCCCAAAGACTGAAGACGGACGGCGAGCAAATAGAACGACCACGGGCGGGGGCGGGCAGACGACCGCGACCCGGTGTAACGACGGAGGCCAGAAGACAGCCGCGCCTCAGAACACACAGTGCGGCACATGATATAAAAGAGCTGCGGCGGAAGCGGGATAAGGGTGGATATTGCCTTATCATGTTAAAGGCAATATCCACCCTAAACATCTGGCAGTTTAGACATGGCAGATGCCATGTCTAAACTGATACTGAGACTGATATAAGTAATAAACGATAGGGTGAGCAAGGGCGCGCTGCCATGATTTAGTATGAATTGGTTTTTCTGCTTGAAGGCTGCGTCAGCCCACGAAAACATCCACTTTGACCCACTCCACAGGAGTCTAGCGGTAGCCACATGTCCTGGTTGCGCTAGCTCAGCAGAAACGCTCAGTGAGCATAATAAAGGTGTCAGTCTGATAAATTATGTCATCAGAATAAAAACAGGACCAGCAGGAGCCGCTGGTGACGTAAACACACACGAAAACAGAACACCCGACACCGCAGAGATCGCTGTCAAGCCGTCCACTTTCTCTTAGTTTTTGTTCATGTCGACAGCTGGTCCACAGCCGACGAGGTGTGTGGCAAGTGTGTCTTTCGTACAATCCTAGCAAGCCGAGTGTCGTACAAATAAAAGACGGCAATATCGGTTTTAATATGAACACTAATTAACCAGTATAGCGCCTTTTGGGGCGACTAACGGAGCGAGCGAGAGGGTGAGCCTTGCACGTGCGAAATTTCGAGGGGGTACCTCCAGCTGACTTGTGCACGGCACCCTACTAACCGGTCTCTAGCGATGTGCCAAATTTGAGCACAATCGGCCCAGCCGTTCTCGAGATCTGGAAGCGGCACCCTGCACGTGCGCACGTGCAAAATGGGTCCCAACTGACTTTTGCACGGCACCCTACTAACCGGTCCCTAACCATGTACCAAATTTGAGCGCCATCGGTCCAGCCGTTCTCGAGATCTGGAAACGACCCCTGCACGTGCGCACGTGCAGCAGCACCCCGACTCTGGCACATGGATATGCAGTGCCTAGTGGGTGCCTACCTACATGCCAACTTTCAGCGCAATCGGCCAAGTAGTTACCGAGATATTGCAACAATTACAAAAGTGACACCTCTTCGTTTTGCA